ACCTCCACGGGCAGCCTCTGGGCTCTGTTGGGTCATTTTTTGCCTTTGCATTAAATACTTCGGAAAGCTGCTGTGAGGTGTGCTCATTTTGGGGTACAGTCCTCCCATTCTCCTTCACACCGCTCCCAGGAGGAGCTACGATTTGTATCCTCTGTTTCTCGCAAGTGAGAGTCCTGAGAAACAGCGTGGGTAAATGGTATGTTCACATCTCACTGCCTGATGAGCAAGGGCATGAACACCATGGGCTTCTAGGCTCTAACCTGCAGGATATGCTGAACCTCACGCAAAGAAGTAAAAACATCAGCAAAACAGCCCTTAAATGCAGTCCTGTGGTGTGCCCACACGGCTTGGTGCTACCTTGGTATCACAACCCAGGGACAAAACCCTCTCAGCTCCTCTGGGTGAAGACCATGTCCAGCTGCCAGCACAGCAGGGAGACTTGGAGGGAGGAAAAAAATAAATAATAAAAAAAAATGAGCCCAATATTCCTTAGCCTGATGGTTCCTGGGCTTGGACGAATCCTTCCAGGGCCCCTGCACAGCCCTGCTGCTGCTGGTATGTGCTACAAAAGCAGGCGCTGAGTTAGTTTTGTAATAAAGTTGTCTGCTTTATCCATCTTCTGCAGGGCCTTTCTCTGGGTGTCAAGGCTGTGGGCAGGAGAGCTGTTCCTTGATCCTCCGACACAAACCATCCACGCTAGTCCGACCTCTGGCCCTTGGGGATGTGAGGTGGTTATCGAGTATTTCAAGGCTGAAGGGGAAGGAAAGGAGCCAAACCGCGGAACAGCTGAAGTTGCACTGATATCTGCCCTCTCTCTGCAGTGCACACCAAGCAGCACGGGGTGGGAACATCCACCATGCCCTCAGCTTCTTCTGCTGGCTCCCACTCAAAGCTGAGAGGCTGGAGATTGAAACTCCCACACAAAGCTCGCACGTGACGAAAAGAGGTTTTGGAGCTGGTTCGTGCACTCAGGGGAATGAAGCCAGCTGAAGGCACAGTCCATGCAGAGCAGACCAAATATTGCATCTCAGCACATCCCTTTGGGCAGGGCACGTCTCCGCTGAACTGAAAGGCGTAGTGTTGGGTGAACCTGGCCCAGGTGCTCGCAAAGCCCGCTGGTGATTTCCACTCCAAAAAGGTTTCCTTCCAGAAGGGGCAGGAGCTGGAGGGACCTTCCCCCTAGCTGAGGACACATGCACTGTGATGGTGTCAGATGGAGCTTGCACAGGAGATTGCTTGAGCCAAAATTATGTGAAACAGGAATAACCAACAAAACCAGGCACCTCAGGTTTTGTCCACCAAGGGCCAGGTGGGTGCCCTGCACGAGACCCACGCAGAGCAGCATCCCCCCTGCCTGCCTCCTCCCCACCGCTAAGAAAGCCACTCCGCACAGCCTCGGTCAAGTGTACGTTTTTATTTTTCAATGGAACATAAACTCTTTTAGAAAAAACATTCATCTGGATGATAACGCCCATAGAAAAAAAAAAAAAAACACCAATCTCATGGGGTTTTTGTTTTTTCTTTTTTTTTTTTAATTTGGCATTTGTTATTTGCATTTATATTAAAGCAAAGTGCATCTTTCTTATTTTTCTCGTTTATACACATTGCACAATACATAAATAATGATGCTTATAAAACGTCTTTATATTTACAAGTAATAATATATTTATATATAACATAAAATACATTTTTTTTCTTTAATAAATCTCAGGGTTTTTTTAAGGAGTCCTTTTTTGTGTGTTTTATTTCCAAAGCACTACAATGCTAAAGTTCCAAGGAGAATGCTCTCTTGTTCATTTAAACCTTTATATTTAGAAAAATAGCTTATGTTAAGGTCTAAACATGCTCATTGAGCTAAGAACAGTGTAAAAGTATCATACTCGTGTATGAATTCAAGAAGAAATGAAAGCACAACAGCATTTCCAGATACGATGGTACCGGGATAACCTGATTAGCAGGTTACAACAGACCAACTATCATGAACACTTTTTTTTTTTCCCCATTTTACTTTGTTTTGTTTTGTTGTTTGTTTTTTTTTTTTGTTTGTTTGCTTGTTTGCTTGCTTTGTTTCTTTTTTTTTAAGCTTATGCTTCTGTCACTTCGCATCTCAGCTCAAATTGTAAAGCACGGGCCATGCACAGTTTCTTCACGGTTGTTTTCTCCCCTTGCATCAATCCATGACAATAAAAAAGCAGTGGAAGGATGGGCAGGCTTCCCCCAACACCCACACTCCCACGGTGGACAAGATGAACACAGGGACGAGACTCTAGCCCAACAACGACAACAAAAAATCGACAAGGGTGGGTAAAGACCTGCCTGGGAAGGTTTTGCACCATCGTTTGGCGGTGGCTAGGTAGGGTCAGCACCGCTGGGGAAGGGGCCTCAGCTGGTTGTCACCACCACTGGGGACAGCTGGAGGCGAGGGGAAGGTGGTGCATGAAAAATACGGGTCTCCTGTCCTGTTATCCAAGAGATGGAGCCGTAACAAACAGCAAGTGGCTCCCCGATCCTCGATCGCATAGAATAATCCTTTCAGAGGTGGGAAACAATTATCATATGCGATCCATCCCCACTCCCCACACACCCTTCTCTTGCCCTTCTGAGTTATTGGTCATTCACACTTTTAAAAAATATATATATTTATCAAAATACCAAGGCAAAAATCTTTCCATAAGCTATTTCTCAAAACAGGAAAAAAAAACAACAAACAAAACAAAACAAAAACAAAAAGTTTGCATGAAAAGCAAGCACTCAGAAGGAAATAATAGCAGCAAAGTAGTATAAATGTCATGAGTCCACTCTGTCTCGAGTCATCGGTTATTAAAAATAACCTCCAACCAGCACGGGCAACTGCTGATAAACTGTCTCGTGTAGCACTGGCCCCAGCCTTTCACAAAGCTGATCTGAACAGTAAATCCGGTCCATGGTTGCTGCATGAACTCATGGTCATTCGGCCTCTGCAAGCTGTACGCCTTCTCGTAGTCAAAAGCCTTGATGGAAAAACCTGGAAACACTTTGTGCACCAGCAACGTCCTGGAGTCGGGGTTGTCCAGTGTGGCCGACTTGATGAAGATGGGGTAACTGCTGCGGTTGTACACCCACACGCCGTCCACTTCCTTGGTGAGCTGGATGCCATACCCGATCTTGCTGCGGACCTTCTGCACCAGCTGGCTTTTGTTGTCCGAGTTGAGCTGTCCGAGGCAGAAACCATTCCCCTGAGGTAGATCATAGAAGATATCCAGGGAGGGCTCTTGGACAGAGTACAGCCGACCCACGCGCGTTTTCTCTTCCCAGTATGCCACCACGCACCAGTGTGACCGATCCCCCGGCTCCTGAAGAACTTGGGAATCTAAAGGAGGCGAGAAAAAAGGAAAAAGAGGAGAAATTGAGTACCGGGGAGGTTAAAAATGTGACCAAAAAACAATATAATGCCATGATGTCGCTTCCGCGCCTGCATGATGCCCTCCACACAGGCACCAGCACCCCCAGCAGAGGCACCGCTTCTGACAGCAATGTGTGACAGCCACAATTAAGTCCATTTACACTCACCCACGTTTGGGTGTTTGCTGTGCTGCTCCAGCACCTAGTTCTGGTGGGCTACAAGTGCCCAAAGCACCATCTCCCCCTCCCCAAAAGCAGCTCGAGGCACCAGCAGCACCCGCAGCGCTGCCGTCCCAGCACCCTTCCTGCTCCAGCCAGCTGTGTCTGGCAGGACCAAACACCCTAAAAACATTTATTTACACCCAAAAGGCACACTTTGGAGGTCACCCCAGTGAAACAGGGGGGCTGGGGCTAACTCTGGGGCGGCAGAGGCCTAGGCCGGGCCCTCAGCTGCAGGCAGGCCGCGGGAAGCGCAGGCAGACGGCGGCCTGCAGCAGCAGGGTGGAGACCGGAAACCTTGTGTTTGTTAACAAAAACGGTCACAAAAACCCGCAGGAGCAGCCCCGAACTTAGTTCCTTAGTTCCCTTAACCCGTTTCTTTTCAACTCCTCCTTCTCCGCCTAACCCCGCGAGGGGACGGCACGGGAGGGAGAGGAGGGAAATGGGGCAGGGGGGATGAGAAACATGAAAAAAACTCCTTTCCCTGACGGGGGATCTGTACCAGGCCGGTGCTGCTCAGCTAGCAATCCCTCCCAGCCTTCACAGGCATGTTAAGACCTGGGAACTATTAATCTCTGTAATTGTATTTAAAAAAAAATAATAATACAAAAATCCAGAGGGGGCCGTGAGTTGGTGAACGGGGGGCAGCACCCAGAGGCCTCCCCAGCCAAGCACCGTGAGGCCCCACAGTGCTGCCCTGACCCCCCCCCCCCCGCTTTATTTTCTGTATTTTTCTGTACTTTTTGCTATTAATAAGCCTGCTTCCCCAGCACAGGCATTTTCCTCCGGCCTCCTGTTTAAAGCACGGCACTGTGCTCTTAAGAAAAAAAAAAAACAAAAAACTCCAGCCGCACACTTTTAATTTCCTCATTTCTATGCCAGCAAGGAAAATATTTCTGCAGTTGCTGGAGGCAGCTACCAAAACCGGGCCCGAGCGCACCCGGCCGGCAGCAGGAGGGTCGCTGGGCTGCCAGCCCCCGGGGACAGCGGGGCCGGGAGTCCCTGGGGGTACAGCCCCACCGAGCATCGCCCCACAGGGTCGAGGTGTGCTGCTGTTTGTCCGTCCACCTCCCCTTGCCGGTGCCTCCCAGGACTTTTTTGTTTCCTCTAACTCAATCCTGCTGAAACCTGGCACCACTGGGGAAAGGGGACGAGCGAGGGAAGGGGCGGCGCAGCTTGGGTTACCTCGGCCCTAAGCGAACGGGGTGCCGGCACCCCTCTACCCCCCCGCTGACAGAGGATGCCCCAGGTGGGTGTTTATCAAAAAACACCCTCAGGACTGCATTTTCCCCTAGAAAAAAAAAAAAAAAAAAAAAAAAAGCACAATTTGGGGGGTGATGCAAGCCACCCGGGCGCCCGCTGGGCTGCGCCCCCCCCCTTGCCGCACCCTCCCCGCCAGCGGGAGTTTTGCCCAAGTAAAGAAACGAGCTGGGTTGACGGCGGAAAAAAAGTTAATTGTTAAAAAAGCGGCTGGCCCTGAGCCCTGAGCCCTGGTCCCCGCGGCGAGCCGGGGGCGGCCGCAGGAGCCTCCCCCCGGAGAAGCGTCAGGCACCGCGCCGCTCGGGCAGGGGGGGCAAAACTGCTGTTTGTGTACATGCGCAGAGAGAGAAGGGGTGGATTTTTTTTCTTCTTTTTTTTTTTTTTTTTCTAAAGATGGTTTAACTAGCTGTTTGTTTAAAGAGTCGTGAAAGCAAAGCTAGGTTGTAAAAAAAGAAAAAAAAAAAAAGCACAACCCAAGCAACCAACCCACCTAATCAGAGCCTGCCATCAATGCCTACAGCCTGCAGGTCTTTTTGCTTTACAGCAGTTGAGGGAATTTTGCAGCAACAGCCATTGAACCCTGCTGAAATTCCTGTAAGTTTTTATTTATTTTCTTTAACATAAAAGCATCCCTTTCAGAAGGAGGGGGGGGGGCAAAAAAGCCTTTTTCACCCTGTGTTTGTGCTTGCATTAGTGAAGACCACTTAACAAGCAGCTCATTGCAACTTACAAAGAGTTATTTAATTGCCAGTGCATTAAAAAAAAAAAAAAAAGGGCTAAAAAGAAAAAGAAAACTGCCTTGGCTATGAATGAACAGACCTTTATGGAGGGCTGGAAGTTCATGAATGAATCCCACTAGGTTTTTCAATGACATGGGGTGACCAGACCTCAAGGACAAGTCTTAGGTAATCCGGGATTTTTTAAACGAGCCAGTGCCAGCACACAGTATAAATATGCCAGAGCGTCTTCCGTTTGCGGGATTCGGCTGTTGACTGGACGTCTAGTCAAAAAGCCATGAGAATATACGGGCTGAGCCCGGATAAACAGGGTCAGGCCTCCCTGCCAGCCCGGTGAGCCAGCCACCACCAAAGCCGCTTTTCACGATTGTTGGGACCCCGGCGGAGCTCCCCCGCTCCCCCCGTTTTGGCATCAGCAGGGAAAATGGGTGGGAAAAGCCAGTGGCATCGCCTGGGCGGCGGAGGCAGGAGAGGAGGTTGCAGGAGAGAAGGAAAAAGTGACGCAGGCACGCTTCCGGCAGGGATGGAAACTTTTTTCCCCAAAAGGCTCCGCTTTATGGCAATGACCACAGGCTGGGCTAGGCACAGAAATGAAGCAAGATGCTCCCAAAAGTCCCAAAACACCCTGTCGGGGTTCATCTCATGGTCCCGTGCCACCTCTCGCAGTGAGCCCTGCTGCAAACTTGCACAAATCCCCAAATCCTGGGAAATTTGCAGCCACGTCTCCCAAAGCGTGGGCCACCAGCTGCCACTGCCAGCGCGCCGTGGCCACTGCGTGGGCCAGTCCATGAACGGCTGAGAAACACTTCAGGATTCTAGTTTTGAGTTAAAAGCATCGTTTTTTACGAGCTCCTCGGAGCAAACACATCCCTTTCTAAATGCCTGGAAAAGTCCCAGCAAGCTGCGAGTGCTCCCATACCCCAGCAAACAATGATAATGCTTAATGCTAGAAACATGCGCACCATTATTTTCTTATTAAGCACCCCTCCATTTGCTGCTATCGTTGGTTTATTATTATTTCTATGGTTTGCAAGGCAGCCTGCCTAGGGGCCCCATCAGGATCAAGGGCCCCCCAGTGCATTGTGCAAACTTATTGTAAAGAAAAAATAAATAACTGGAAATAAGGCCAGCCTCTGCCCGCAGGAATTAGGAGAATTAGTCATATTGATCACTCATAGTCGCGTCTACAGAGAAGTGCTGGCTGAAGCAGAGCATGTTTCTGCATGGAGGGGAGAAATCAAGGCAACAGTGTGGCACCCCAATCTTTTGGGGGCAACATTTCTCAGCAGCGAGGTGCCGATGTCTTTGCAGAAGCTTGTGTTGACTCGAAAATGGAAAAACACATTTTTTTCTCATTTTTCTACCACCACGCCAGATGACACCCTCTGAACTTTCCAGAAGGGCCATCCTGACTTCTACCAGCCCATCCCTCGGAGGGGAAGGAAGCATCACTCCAGGAAGGCATCACCCCAGCTCCTTTCCAACACAAAATCCGGACCAGCAGACTGTGAGGTTTCCCACCACCTGCCTTGACCCTCACAATTGCCAAGTCCTGCCCAAAACTGCTCAACGGAAGACCAGAGCCAGGGTTTCTCTTGCTTTGGCACCATGGAGGAAAGTGGATGAGGGCGACTGACACCGCAGAGGGACCCGAGTGCCCCAGGACGAGCCCCGTGCTTGGTTTTCTTGAGCCGCAGCAGACTCGCACCTCGCGCCGCAGCTGCGCTGGAAGCAGCAAGGAATTCGTGGGGCGGCTTTGCTCCTCGACACATCAACAGCTTCGGGATGATGAAACCGTGTCATCTGCATCTGTACTTTTTCTTTCAGAGTTCTGGCAGTTTTATGGGGGGACCAGGAAGAAAAAGTTCTTTTTCATTCAGGAACTGAGACATTTCAGCTCATTTCAGGAGAGGTTTCTGTCTGATTTTTTTTTTTTTAAAGGCCATTTTGGATTGAAAAAAAAAAACACATGCTGAACATAAATTTTGGTTTAGAACTGTGCATCAGCCCTCCCCATCCCTCCTGTTCATCCCTAGATGTTTTCATGTTTTCCAGTCCATCTATCCAGCCCTTAATACCCTCTGGGCTGGTATTAGGAGTGCCAAAAACCATTGCAAAAGCCGAGCCCTGCAGAAGACAGAGACCAAGCACTCACTGCTGCTCACAGCTTCTGCCTGGCGGTGGAGGAGAGGAAGGAGCAGGTCCCCCCTTTGTTTCTCCCCCCGAAATTGTGCACTTTTTCCAGGCTCTGCCCAGAGGCAGCAAGGCTGCGGCCAGCAGAGCCGCTCGCGGGTTTTCAGATCTCAGCCTTGTCCCCGTGCCAAGTTCACAAACATCGGGGGGGAGGTGGGAAGGGGATCTTTTGTTTTGCTTTGTTTTGTTTTGACATAGCTAAAGGTTTTCCTGTAATCAACCGACTTCTAAGGAAAACAGCAAGTTGAGCACACACTGCGCTATCTTACCCGCCCGGACTACTCCCACTTGATGGAGTCAGGAGCTATCCGGACCGTCACTGAAATCTGTGACAGCAACAGCTCTCAACTGAAAATGGGAATGCAGCAGCATTCCTGATTAGGTTCTTAAATGCCTGTAATTGGATCTTTTCTCAGTGATATTGGGACTACACGTAAATTAAATTACCCGGCTGCAGAAGTGTTTTAACCGCGGAGATTTACGTGTCTTGATTCTTTTTAACAGCAGCTTTGCCCCGAAGGGTCTCCTGGTGCTCTTCCTAAGCATCCCACCATCACACGCCCTCCCTCCCTCATTCCTCCAGGAGGCCTGGGCTGGGATTTCCCACCCAACCTCGCCGTGCCATCACCTCCCCCTGCATGGCCACGGAGGGCTCCTCTTTTTTGGGTCCCCTCGCCGAGCCACTCATGGTGACCCTGCACCCATGGCCAACATGAATGGGCAGTGGTGGTGGATAAATTAAAGTATACACGTGCACCGAGCGCTGGAGAACAGATGAAACAAAGGCCCTTCCTCCTTTATCTGTCAGCACGTGTGGAGGGCATCTGTGCTTAAATAAAAAAAGAATTGGCTGGACTGGTGTCAGCACAACGTGTCGTCTGGTCGGGGCCAAGGCTGAGACCGAGCTGAGCGCATCCCGCACCCGTAATCTCTTGGCTGACCTTAAGTGGCATCTGTGAGTGCGGGGCAGAGCTGTGCCCCCATCTCTTGCTGCTCCCTGAGATGGAAGAGATGGAGACGGAGAAAAGGTGGCCGCTGCCCGCAAGGTCTCTTCCCACCCACCCAAAAGCAGGCAATAAATCCTGCGGAAAAGGTGCAAGGCTTTTGTGGTTCACATACAAATTCGCTGCGTGCAGCACCGTGAGCCGGATGCAAATGTACTTGCCGCAATTAATTGATTATAGCCTCCCCTCTTACCAGCAAATACACTTTAAAAAAGGACAGGAGTGGTTCATGTTGGCTCTGCACAGGTTTTTGCATGCCCCTCTGTGTTTTCTTGAGGGTCACTGCAGGTGCAAAAGTACCTTTTTTTTTAGGATCTCAGGAAAAACATGTGCCTGAACTCCGATTCGGGAAGGGACCAGGAATTGCATCAAGGTGAGGAGAACACTGAGCATGATGTGCAACGACAGAGCTAATCAAAGCGAAGACAAACAGGCACGAAGCAGGGAAATGTCACCTCCCTTCTAATCTCCCAGGCAATTCACAGGGTCCTTGGGCGGGGGAACAAACAAACAAAAAAGACAAGTCCAGAAAAACCCTTCAAAGCCAGATTTCCAGGTATGCCTCGCAAAAGCAAAGAAAAATCCAAATTAAAGGACATACCCTGCTGTAGAAAAGGGTCTTTGTGCCTTTAGTGGAGCTTGTGGGCAGCCTGCAGACACCACCCACGGGAATGTTTGCCCCAAACCTTTTATATCTGACTGCGCACCAGGGGCGAGACAGCGCCGGCTTCCTCGCTCCCCTGCTTTTGATGGCTGGGATGATTTCTGAAAGGCTAATTTAGGGCTCAACTCCTGTTGTTTGCAGACAAAATACCCCCCCAGGGATGCATCCACCCACGGGGTGGCCCCTGGGGACGTGCCCCCTGCCAGCACGAGAGCCCCCAAAGACAGTCGGTCACGTCAACACTTGTTTAGGGAGCCCTTAATCTGTGGATTATTGACACGATAGACCATAACATCTCTTTAGGAGCCATTACAGCCCATCGTGTCAGTGGGTACTTACAGAGTCCTTAATCCGCGGATTGACAGGCTAGGCCTTAAATTTGTGTCCACGTCTAATTAGGCAGTTTCTTATTACTCAACCTACAGTGTAACCATGCCGGGCAAAGAGCCTGAAGATTATTTCTTTAACTCGTTAGCAAGTCACCCACCCAATCACTTAAATGGTTCCTTGCTCCTCAGAATAAGTCAACCTTGCATAAAAATTCACGTCCTGAGTTTTCCCCAAAAACTTTTGCTTTGGCACCAACAGCAAGACAAAATCTCCCTGCCTGGAAAAAGAAAATCTCAATTCTCTGTGTGAAACTTGAAATTTCTATTCCACCATGAGCCATTTTCACTGCCTGGGGAAGGACCCAGGCCTTTGCGCTCAGTTTTCTAAGGGCTGGTGTCTAGAAGCCAAGGCACCGTGAACAGATTTGAAGTCTTGTGAGTCGGATGGGGAATGCAGGGGATACAATTTGGCAGAAGCCACCATGGGAAGGGGTTGGGATTGTGATGATGTTTGATGTTTGTAACCAGGGCTTTGGTTCGGGCCCATTTCATGGTGACCCATGAGACCCTCCTGCTCTGCTCGGTCCAGCCATCCTCTGGGGACCCAAACAGGAATTCCCATCACCTCCAGTAGGGCTGCAAAACCCCCTTGTGAAACCAGCACCAAAACGAGGAGGGGCTGGATGGCAGGATGAGGAGACAGCCGGACCCCGAGGACACCCCCCATGGTTTCCATCCCCGCCTGGTGGCACCTCGGGCCATCCTCCTCCTGGGGTGCCCAACCCGGCACCCAGCCCCAAATGTGGGGATTATGGAGCACAAAAGCAAACTGAGGAAGGGTCTGCTACAAAGCCACGAGGGTGGGCAGTGGGGAGAAGGAAGGCAAGGCCAGGAGGGCAGCTGAGGCGTGAGGAGCAGAGGGTGATTCGCAGCCAGGTGGGGACGTGCACGGGGCAGCGGGGAGCGGGGACAGGGAAGAAAGAGCCAAAGTGAAACTGCCGGGTTCATGGAGTCCACCAAACCAGAAATTTGATTCACAAACATCCCATTAGTCACTGCTACTGCCTAATTACGGTGATTAATCAATTACCACGGCTAAAAATTACCCGAGAAGAGAAGAACCTTTCTTGTACCCACTTTCTTTAAAAGCCAGCGAGGCTGCAGCCACCGGTCTGAGTCTGCTGCAGCTACAAGGGGGAAAAAATACACACGCACACACCAAAAATGCCTGTCTGCCTGTCTCCAGTGGTTAGAGAGGAGCCAGCTGACTCCAGTTTCCTCTGTACCAGGCTTTGGGCCTCATCAGCCATGCAAATTACAGAGTACCGTGCTGTCTGAAGGCCGAATTTCGACTCAGCTCAGAGAAAAGCCTTAGAGGAAGGGTGGGGATGAAGAAGCCAGCCAAATCCATTCATAATATTTACAGTAAATGGGCCTCTTTGCTGTTGTTTAGTATACAGTCAGTCTAATTATTTTTGAAGTTTTAATTTAAAGAACCTTCTTTATCTGCCTCTCCTCCTGCACCCCTCAAAGGTGTGGGAAACTTTTCTCTTTTTTCAGAAAGCGGCAGGATGGGAATTGGGAATCCCTCCCCCTGCGCCTCGCCAAGCCCTGCCCGCGATGGGGTGGGAAGAAGGAGGCCTTCCAGGGGGACAGGGGAGACCCCTCCCGGGGCGGGGGGAGACACCCCAGGGGATTTTAAGGCCAAAAAGAAAAGAGAAATCCTGCCCAGCATGTGGGAGCCGGGTGGGCTGTGCGCTGTGGTTCAGCACAAGGGTGCAGCTGGTGCACACAGAGCACCCCCAAGTCCTAATGCAACCCCCCCAGACCCTGTTTGTGCCACACATGTCCAAAATGCTCTCCTCCCAGGTGGCCAGGACACATCCCTGGAGGAGCAGCTTGCTCCCAAGGCTCCAGGATGCTCCCACAGCCCCTGCCCTCACAGGCTCCTGTGCCCCATCTCCGCATGTTTCATACAAGCCAGTGCAATCCCATTTTAAGGACGATCGGGGAGGTTTCAGGAGATTTCGGAGGCTCCTCCTGAACACGCAGGAAACCCCAGCAAGCCTTAGCGGTGCCATGCACCCGCCAAGCAACTCGGGGCTGGTTGCTGGTGAACAAACGCCTCCCTGCCTGGCTTCCAGCAGGGCACACCCCTTCTCCACCTCAACCCACCCCGGAGCTGAACCAGAAACCTCCTGAGAAGGAGAAACCAGCGCACAAAGGGCTCCCGAGTTACAACCACGCAAAGCAGACCTGGGGCTGAGCTTGCCAAAATCCCCTCTCCGGCGACAGCAGCCTGCCCAGCACCCTCTGAGCACAGGGGTAAATCGCCACCCAAGCCATCGGAGGCCACTAGGTCCCGCGAGCTGCAGGGTCACAGCCCTCCCGAGCACAGCCCCCAGAGCTCAAGTTTTGGGAGATGAAGACCTTGAAAGGCTTTTGCAACTCAAAATAAAAGCACAGCTCCTCTGATAAGACGGGCACTGCCACCCGGTCCTGGCGATGCCCCGGCGAGCATGGATGTGGCCCCCAGGAAAGCCAAGGCTCTCCAGGTTTAATTCTCCCCTCTGACAACATGTAGCTATGCGGGTTACATGTTAAAGGGCTTGTAAAGGCCGTCATAAAAACTGATGCATACTAGGCTAGTATTTCCAGGCTGATACCTAATACCCAGATGTGTGTTACAATTTTTTCCTGAGCGCATTCCGCGCACGCACACACACGCGGGGCATCGCCGCCGCTCTCATTTCCATAATGAAAAAAATCCTCTCCTTGCAGCACACTGACCTGTAATTCTCCCCCAAAGTTATTGCAAGACCGAAAACAGACATTTCCCTTAAAAAAAAAAAAAAAAAAAAAAAAAAAGACCACCACCCAGCCCGCGCAGAGCTCTTTCCTAGAGGGCAGGGAACGGCTTCTCCCGGGGACGTAAAACATGGAAAAGCACGGCTGGAACAAAAGTCCTTTTCACGCCCGCCGTGCCCCCCCCGGCCCCACTCCGTAACAATTATGAAAACTGTTTAGCTGGGATGGCATTTGGAGCATTTACTGCATTCCTGCCAATAAATTCCATTCCCGGATCTGATGGAAAACGCGCCCCCTTCTCCCCTCCCCTCCCTGCCTTCATTCCTCCTGTCTTTCTTTACAACCTAATACCCTGTCGACTCGGGGCCAGGGCCTACTTAGGGGGAAAAAAAAACACCCAGCGCCAGACTGGAGACAGCATGCAGACTGAAAAAGTTAATCATTACTTCTGTCTGCCTTCATAATCTAATCACGCCTATTCCTAAGAGCATGCGGCAAGGCCCGCTCGCGCGCAGGCACGCCGGGGCCGGGTCACCACGGACGGACAGACGGACGGACGGACGGACAGGACCGTCCCCACACCCCCGGCCAGCCCCGTGCCCCCCGGGCAGGGCGCAAGCCAAGAGCCCAAGGGCCGGCGAAGGGCTCTTGGACGGAGTTCAC